CTGGAGTATCCATGCCCCACTGATGGTTTGTCAATAGCTTGACGAACCGGGGAGGGTGTTCGTGTGTCTGGATACGAGCATGGTAGATCTGCTAGCAGCACGGGGGGGTACGTAGACAGGAGCATGCGTATGCCTGAAAAAGGCTACTATGTGTGGGCCCCCTTCCCCAAATTCGGGAGGGCCACTTCTTCCCTTCCTTTCCTAGCTCCCGCGGGTGCCTAATCAGAGAGAATTAAAGCGTGTCTACTCCTCCCAAGTACGGACATACCAACAGTGTACAATAACGTTGATGACGGGGAACGTTTTCGTGTTTCTTGTTTGTCGTTTTTTCTTTCATCTTTTCGTTGCCTGTGAATACCATCATGGAATCAGCACGGACGGTAGAGGAACGAAGGAGAAATCCGAAAGGTTATATAGCGGTAACCACACAACAGTGACAGAAGTGTTACTCTGTATGGCTGTGACGGGCTCGAGAGATCAGGCTTATATTTTTGCGGGAAAACAAATGGCGGACTACCCTTGACGTCGTTCTTCCTGCGCACTACTTGCACACCGATCGCAACTGTTGCTGGATGCTCAATTGCTCGCCGCCACGCCCCTGCCTTTTGTGCGTGATTGCTTCCAGACCAACAAGTACGTCAACTTCTGTGCCGAAGAGACCAACCCGTCCCCGCTTCAGCAGCCCCGGCATCGAAAGAAGAAGACCAGGACGGGGTTGTCGTACGTACCTTCGGAGGACCTTCCTGACGGATCCAAAGTCTACGGGTTTCACCGGAAGCACCTGTACGGAGTGATGGGCATCCTTATCTCTGCGGGGATCACCCAGAAGCGTAGGCTGACGGACCACTGGGGAGCAGGGGACCACGACAACTACCCTCCTGTCCGAAAGTGCATGCCTCGCGACCTCTTCACGTTCTTCTACTGCCGGTTCTTCTACATGACTCCAGTCATCGAGGCTCTCTCCAAGACCCATCCAGAGTACGATTCCAAGCATCACATCAGGTAAACGTGTTGTCCTGNTGGCAACTGTTGCTGGATGCTCAATTGCTCGCCGCCACGCCCCTGCCTTTTGTGCGTGATTGCTTCCAGACCAACAAGTACGTCAACTTCTGTGCCGAAGAGACCAACCCGTCCCCGCTTCAGCAGCCCCGGCATCGAAAGAAGAAGACCAGGACGGGGTTGTCGTACGTACCTTCGGAGGACCTTCCTGACGGATCCAAAGTCTACGGGTTTCACCGGAAGCACCTGTACGGAGTGATGGGCATCCTTATCTCTGCGGGGATCACCCAGAAGCGTAGGCTGACGGACCACTGGGGAGCAGGGGACCACGACAACTACCCTCCTGTCCGAAAGTGCATGCCTCGCGACCTCTTCACGTTCTTCTACTGCCGGTTCTTCTACATGACTCCAGTCATCGAGGCTCTCTCCAAGACGCATCCAGAGTACGATTCCAAGCATCACATCAGGTAAACGTGTTGTCCTGTGGCATGTTTTGTCCGCCTCCGTGCAAGGGAGGGTGGCGAGGGCTCGGTCGGCAACCCTCCGGCGTTGTAGGCGGGCGGGGGAAGCCCGTAGACTTAATAGGCTTGCCGTGGTTTCTTCTCCTTTGTTTTTCAACATGTTCCTTCGTCCGAAGTGGTTGATTCGCCAGCGATATGCAAGACCCCATCGGGGGGCGGTTTGGTGTCGCAGGGCGCGTCCGTATCATATTGTGTGAGTAGATTGTTTATGGCCTTGAGTGTACGCAGCTTTGGTAACCACAGGCAGGCTCACATGCATGTTTCGAGGAACAAAAGCAAACGCAACGCACATCTTGCCTTATCCCAGGGGCTTCGTCACGTTCACATACATTCGTTGCCTCTCCCGTTTTGTTATCGTCGTCCATCACGTCCTGCAGAGCATTCGAAGACGCACTGAACACATGCTGGAGCTCGCTTGTGGAGCTTGAAGGGTGGGTGTCGTATGACGAGCAGATGGTGAAGAGCACGGCGAGAGCTATGCACGGGCTGATGAGATTCAACCCTCAGAAGCCCATCAAACACGGTAAGTTGAAATGTCTCTACGATGAGTCTAGGAGATGCCACCGCTCCCCGCTCCGAATCAAACACACGTTCGTACTTGTAGCGAAACCCATGCCACTGTTCTGGCAACCTTGTCGCCGTGATTTTTCTCTCTCTCTCTTCTGGTAGCATGTTGGTGCTGTCTGATAAGTGGTGTTAAACGTCGTGCCTCGGGGCGTTCTTCACATATTTCCCATGAAAAATTGGTGTGCTTCACGTGTAGTTGCCGCTACAAGCATGGGTTTGTTTACAACTGCACATAAAATTCGTTTGATTATCTGTCGCGCGAAGACAACAGTGACATGCCTTTACCGCTTGCGCTGTTCGCTTATTTCGCATATTTGCCGGCGACGCTTGCGCAGGGATTATGGGGTTCGCATGCTGTTGCTGGACTGGTACTGCTACCTCCAGAGCATTGATGGCGGTTCGACGGCTGCTACCTCCAGAGCATTGATGGCGGGTTCGACGGCGACACACGGCTCAGGCCTCACGACAAGTGCCCCCTCGGCCGTACGGCGCGCACCGTTCTGCATGTCCTCCTCGAGTCCTGCGAGGTGTTTAGCAACAAGATCAACAACTCCGGAGTCACCGTCGCCATGGACAAATTTTTTACCAGTGCTGGGCTGCTGCTGTCGTTAGCTTCCCGCGACATTTTTGCCGTGGGTACGCTGCGCGGCAAGCGCTCGGGTTTGGACGCCGCGATGGAGCTCTGGCAGAACAACGAGGAATCCACCAAAGAGAAGGGAGACATGTATTCGCCCGCAGCAACCACATCGTCATCATCGAGTGGGTGGACTCGAAGACAGTACATCTCATGTCAACCAAGCACGTCTTCGATGAGGATTGGAACCCGGTTCTGCAGACGTGAGTAGACTCGTAAGCACGATGCGTGCGTGAAGTTGTGGATTTCGTCGGGTTCTCTGTTGCGTTGCTGCTCTGCTCATGAACGGCGTGGAAAAGTCGGTGCCGCCGGTGATTGCGTTCGGGGTTGTTTTTTTAGACCAGTGTCGTGTTCCTGCTCTCTGCGTGCACGGCGTGGGAAAGTCGGTGCCACCGTCGATTGCGTTCGGGATTGTTTTTTTATGAGTTAAATGTGGCGTTGCTGTTCTGTGCGTGTACGGCGTGGAAAAGTCGATGTCACCGGCGATTGCGGTCGGTGATCTTGGATACGATCGCACCCGGGGCTTCCATTCCACCGTCTGATTTTTCGTCTCGCAGTTTTGAATCATGCACGGGGCTAGTTCACACTGCATTACGCTCGCGGAAAGCACGCACCATGGGATATGTTCACTAAATTCCTACGCTTGTGGACTTGCCTACGATATTGCGTGTTCAAAATTTGCAGGAAGCGCGCTGCGCTCAACGACGGAAACAGCGTGTCGAGCCTCCAACCACTAGCTCGTCTGGACTACGTCGTCAGGATGGGTGGCGTAGACGTTGCCGACCAACGCCTCATGACCCACCAGCATGGTCACAAGCAGAAGACGTTCTTTTGGCGGCGTGTTTTTGACCAAAAGTTCGCTCAGGCTATCAGCAACGCCTATCTTTTGTATGCGGCGTGGGCAGGCATCTTGACCACCCAGTGCGCGGCGGCGGTGGTGGTGGCTCCCGAGT